TAGCAGCGGCTGCGGGCGCCGGGCATCGTCCGATACGTTATTTATCGTCTACTTTCAATTCGGCAAACATGTAATCCGCGCTCGTAAATCTTAACGACAGCTTAACAGTTTCTTGTGGTACTCGTGTTTAGGACGATTGACTCAATCTGATCGTTAGTAATACGATTTGAATTCGGATAGTTTTGTTTCTTACTTCAGGAGCAATGTAATGTAAACTTGTAATATTTACTTTTTTTATTGCTTAGATGTGTGGACGAGCTCACAGGCCACCTGGTGTTAAATGGTTACTGGAGCCCATAGACATCTACAATGTAAATGCGCCACCCACCTTGAGATATAAGTTCTAAGGTCTCAGTATTGTTACAACGGCTGCCCTACCCTTCAAACCGAAACGCATTACTGCTTCACGGCAGAAATAGGCAGAGCGGTGGTACCTACCCGTGCGGACTCACAAGAGGTCCTACCACCAAAATCAAACCCGCAAATTATAATTTTGCGGGTTTCATTTTTATTGCATAATGTTATTCCTTCACCGTGGAAGTCAATCGTGAACATTTGTTAGGTACGTATTTCATTAGAAAAATTGGTACCCGCCTGCAGGATTCGAACACCGGTGCATCGCTCGACACGAATACACCGGACGTCTTATCTTTTAGGCCACGACGACTTACTTGAAAATACTTTGTTTTTTTGTTTGTAAAATAAATAAATATTGGTATACTGGAATGAATGGTCGATCGGTCTGATGCTGGTGTGTTCGTCGCTCCGCAGTGCCGGTGGAAGATCAGCGCCGCAGGACTGATTGAGTGGCTATTTATTTTTTCCTACCTCTTCTAGTAACCTCAATGGGTTATTTGAAATTCACCGAACTAGTAGGTGAGCTCGCGGGGATCAAACCTGACGTTATTGCTAATACGAAACCAAGCAAGAGCCGTGCTTCGCAAAATCTACCACCGGATCAGAAACGCGACCCACTGCGAAGATCCGGCGAGAAACTCAGTGGGCTGTGTCTGTGGGTTAATTTACTCACCGAGCCCTTCGTTGCAAGCGACGGGTTAGACGAGAACGATGACCGGTACCTAAAAGCACCGTTAGTGGATCGGGAGGATCCGAATTTATTTTTATTTCTTAGATGGGTGGACGACCTTACAGCCTACCTGGTGCTAAGTGATTAGTGGAGCCCATAGTTATCTACAACGTAAATGCGCCACCCACCTTGAGATATAAGTTCTAAGGTCTCAAGTATAGCTACAACGGCTGCCCCAGCCTTCAAGCCGAAACGCATTACTGCTTCACGGCAGAAATAGGCAGGGTGGTGGTACCTACCTGCGCGAACTCACAAGAGGTCCTACCACCAGTAAACGTATGACGTGTTTTGGGTGACGTCGACAGTGTACCATTACGCAGGATACGCGAGAAAGTTGAGTCGCTGCTGCTAAGCTTTGCTTTGCTTTTTCTTTTTCGCTGCTTTAATTTTTGATATCGATTCTTTGAATAAATCTTTGTTGCTTAATCATAATAAAAACTCAAGAATATATCTAGCTTACTACAAATTCGCATACAAAAGAAGCAATGAAAATGAAATTATTTTCGGGTACACACTCGACGCATACTTACCCGCATACCCGCAAAACGAAAAGATACCTAAAACGCTTAAAAAAAAAATGTACTGAGGATAATAATAATGCAAAAGAAAAAAAAACCGTAACCATCTGTCGCATCCCAAACAGAAGCGGCCTTGACACGTTATTACATTACCGCACGCAATGTCAAGGACACAGTGCATTGGCGATCGGTAAATCAATAACTCATTACTTTTATTTCGTTTAAAGTTTTAAAATATTATCGTGTTTTTTGGGCTGCCGATTCACAATGCACCAATTATGTATCGCGCGCGCGCGCCCAAACGGTCGGGCGGTCAATTATGACGTCACACTACTCGCGCCGTATATCCGAGATCGTGACGTAATTTTGTTGATTGAATATACATGCTACAGCAATGATATTTTATATGTAAAAAGAAGCAGATATGTTTCAAGCGGACGTCAAGTGAAGACTCGAAAACAGGCCAATTGGGACGTTTCGTCTTTAGTCGCGTCTAAACAAATGCAATAATAATATAACAGGTGCAGTCGTTCCAATTATAGCTATCTTTTTTACTCACGCGCTTATCCTATCTTTTGTACTTTTCATTAATGCTACTTGTCAACATGTGTGTTCACTATATCGGTAGGTATGTAGATATATATGGCGCGATCAGATTTGAAGGGTCAGTTACTATGAAGATAACATATCTGTTGTATAAAAAACCATTGTGCTACAGTAATAAACGAAGAAGGCTATCAATTAAGTACATCGCAAAACTTAAATCTATGTCTAGGGACAAGTTATAAAGCAGTGGTGTTAATTTATCCGCGTGCGCTTAATAAGAGTCCAACCACTACTGATTACGCAAAATTTATAATTTTTGCCCATAATTTTTTTTATTGCGCTTCGTTCGTGTGAGCTTAATACGTGTTTCATTACAAAAATTGTACCTGCCTGCGGGATTCGAACATCGGCACAGTCGCATCACGCGATACGTGTACGCCAGCCGTCTTATCGTTTAGGCCACGACGACTTCTTACATTTAGAAATAAGTGTAAGAGAAATACTTAGTTACGTATATAAGTATAAGTACGTTGCGTACAGTTAGGTATTAATTAAACTTGTCCATACTTCTCTGTGACTATTGATAAAAGTACCTCATACGTACGACTTGATAGAACTCATAGAACTATCAGCGCGCCACCTGTCGTGCATTGATGGAACTATAACATCAACGAAATCTCGTAAACATTAGGGTATGGTACGTGATAAATTAAATGACGTAGATTATTTATTTCGATGGCGACAGGTTTATTATCAGGAAAAATCACACAGATAACACATTTCAATACGAATTGAACGGTCGGTAAAAAATATATTAAAATATTTACATCCAAAAGTTTATTCAGTACTTCGTTCGTACTTCAATAAAAAATAATAAGTGTAATAAAACTAACCTGTTATTTACTAAGTCTTCAATGAAGCCGAGATCCTTAAAAATTAATCCAACTCCTATGAACTAGAGACACCTTATTTTCGTATAGCACCTTTTCAGACCATAGCATTTCACTACACAATCACTATATTATTATTGCACTATCTACCATTAAAACTATAAGCGTAGGTTTCCCTTTTAAAATATACTTTATTGATTTAAATAAAGAAAAAAAAAATTGTAATTCGAAATTCAAATGCGAAACAACAAAAGAGTTAAAATAAAGGAATTCGATATTCTTAATATTGTAAATATAATAGGTTTTTTTTTTATAGAGAGCTCTGTCGAATTTGAATTTAGCGGGTCAAGTCTAAGGGCTGCGCAGCCGGCCCGCTCGTGCGACTGTCGACAAGGAACTCGACGTCTTAAGGGCGAGGGCGAAAAGACGTTACGCCAGACCCTTCGTCCCCTTTGCTTGTTTAGAGCCGGTGATAATAGGGTTTTTTTTTTTTCGTAACCGTCGCCTTATTATTTTGTTTGCTGTTCACACTTAGTTTGTGACGCGTCAATGTTTTTTGTGCTAAAAATCTAAAAGATTAATTTTTCTGCGAGACTATAATTATATAACTATAATAATCACTACATCAATACTGAAATTTAGTTTTTAATTTTAGAAAAATAGTAATTCTTACTATTAAGTTATTTATTTAATATGTAAAATAGCTTATTTATATAGGAAATAAAACTAAAGCGTGAACACCTTACGAATTTTGTTAAACATATTATCACATTATTGTTGTAAAATAATGTTCAAAACGTTATTGCACTATTAACTTATTATACAATAATATAGTATATTTTAAACTGTTACAAAAAGTTTTTAAGTAAAACGTAAGTGTTACGCCGAAATGATTTTAATGTACAGAGAGTTAAAGTTTAAAAGTAATAATATGTATAACGACAACAAAAAAATGTTTAAAGGTGCGCGCGCTTTCTTCAAGGATAATGTTTTGTGAATTCGGCCACAACAAAAACAGGGCTGTATCGAGAAATCTATATATTAGTGAAGCAAAAACTTTGTATCCCTTTTTACGAAAATTGTGCGGACGGAGGAGTATGAAATTTTCCACACTTATAGAGAATAGAGAGAAGTGCACAATGCTAATATTTTTTTTTAAATAATGCATAATTGATACATCAAATCAATAAAGAAAACATTACACACACTACATGCCATGTATTTGACGCACACACGCATGCATCCTATTTATTGTCAAACTTTTGTTCTTGACGTCTGTTGTCAAATTGAGAATAGACTAAATATTGTTTGTCTTTGTTAATATTTTATAGTGTGTAGTCTTGGCGAAATTTTTGATTATAGTAGTATAAAATACAATCATAATAGTGTACAAACTTACAATTCCAATTAATTATAGTCGAATTTCGACTACTGCGGGACCTCTAGTTTAAATAGTTATAACTATAAAATAAATATGATTTGGCCAACAATCTGATATTGCTTTAATTTCTTCGAGATTTCTTGTGTTTTTTGTTTTGGGATATAGAACAGGTACAATAAAAACCGATGAGTGGTTTCAATAAAGATGCCAGGGCCGCTACTGCTTGAATCATTTGAAGTTCCAGACGTTGACTTGGATTCATTGATGTTCCTTGAATGAGAAGAACTCTCGTGCTCCACAATACGTGTCCCAGGTATGTGGTAGGATATCTTGTGGGCTTCCACGGGTAGTTACCACCGTGCTACCTATTTTCTCCGCGAAGCAGTAATGCATTCAGATATGAAAGGCGGGACAGCCATTATACAAATGATATTTAGACCTAATGTTTTAAGATGTTAGGCAACATTGACGTGATGTTAAGGGCTTTGATCACTTAGCACCAGCAAATTTTATGTTTTACAATTGTATAATTCACACGGAACGGATTAAAATTCATTCTTACTTGAAACATTCACACCATAGTCCTCTTCAGAGAGCGTTTATTTCTCATATAACCTTGATTGATGAACTTCAACGTTCCCTTCGCCCTGACTGATCCTACTTCAGAAAAAGCATCTTAGTTGAGCAGGAAGTGGATAATAACAAATTGAAATATATGCAACCGTCCTGTAACACGGTAGATACGTTCCTACAAAGTTCTGTGTTGTGTGAAACCGTGTTATATAAGACTAGAAGCCAGTACAAAAAGAAGAGTAGTTTTTCTGAATGAAACATCTCAACTATGCCTGTATGAACTATTTTACCTATTAAACATAAAAAATAAACAGTAAAATTTCGCTTATTCCCATACATTTTGTGTTATGTGCTTAATGTAATTTTGTAAGTTATTTTAAACAAAAATCTCGTTATCGTGTTTTAGAAATACCATGTTATAGAGGGATATAGGATTTTTTCTTTTCATGTTAAAGTGGAACCGTGTTATAAAATACCGCGTTATAGGAGGCTTGTATCACTGTATTGTATTGTATTACCTGTGATTAATTCTAAAAGAATTTACTAAAAATTCTCACCGCAAATTCGTCCCTGCTTCGAGGAAGTAATGCACGGTGACTTATTTTTAACGGTCGTCCTGTCGCTCGCTTCGATCAGGGGTACTAAACATTTCGACATTTTCAGCTGTAATTAAAAATAATAATAGAACCAGTTAATTTATAATAGACTGTCGGGCGATTTGTCAGAACTGTGTAAACTATACAATAGTTGTCCAAAAATATCATTAAAATAATAATAATAAATAACAGTTTCTTTCCCAGACTTAAAACTGATTGCTGTAGATGCGCAGATTCCATCACCGTCCATCTGGTGGTAAGTGGTAATCTTCTTCTTTTTTCTTCTTTTTCTGCACCTTATCCCACTAGGTGGGGTCGGCACAGCGAATTTGTCTCTTTTATTCTCTTCTATGAGCCGTCATCTCAACACTCACTCCTCTCTCTCTCTCTCCTATGAATGACGATTCACACACTCCATCCATGTCTTCTTCGGTCGCCCTCTTCCCCCTCTATCTTGCACTACCATTTCCATACATCTCGTAGTTACATGCATTTTCTCTCTACGCATCACATGTCCATACCACGCTAACCGTGAGTGGTTATAATAATTATGAATTGTAATTATGAATGTATTATGAATTGTCAAAAAACTTTATAACCATGTTGATGTAGATGTGAATGAGGATGCCTGGTAGACAACTAATGTTTTGCATTCCGACCCGCCATGGCGCCAGTCTTTGATTACGAGCGTCTGGCGTATCATTAAAATAAGAATCTTGCATCAGACTACAGATGCTCCCTGCTAGATATTAGGCTCCCGCAAACCTCATCATAAAAGTCCTGCGCCCCCTGCGTCCAGCGACTTTCAACAGGTCATTAGTCTACTTTGTGAGGAGCCTGAAATAGGGGAGGATAGATGCTGAGGTTTGGAGGCCGGATTTTGTTATATGTACCATAATCAGCTATCTGTCTTAATCGCCACGCATGACATACGGGCTGGTGTTAGCAGTATGTTTTCATAATACTCTTTTTTTTCGTACCTATGCTGATAGCCTTGAGAGGCTACGTCAGTGTAACCGGGCGAGTAGGTGAGCTCACGGGGCTCAAGCATGACGTTGTTGCTAACATGAACTCTAGCAAGAGCCGTGTTTCGCAGAATTTAGCACCGAATCGGAAACGCGACCCTCTGAGAAGATCCGGCGAGAAACTCAGTGGGCTTCATAATACTCGGAGAACGCGGTTGCCCCGTCTATGGAGAATCCCTTTACGACACCCACGGGGGTTGATGGGGAGGCGTCATTCTTCGTTCAAGGCATTGACACTACTCAGCTGCTCTGCCTGTAACATATGTCTCGAACTAATTATTGCAAATTCGATTTCACCTTTGATATAGCTTTAAAGGAACTTGACAAAAAAACTGTTATCCCTTTGAAGTCGTCGTGGTATAAAGGTCCGTGGTATATAAGATGTCCGGTGCATTCGTGTTGAGCGATGCATCGGTGTTCGAATCCCAGACGGGTACCACTTTGTCTAATGAAATACGTATTCAACAAATGTTCACGATTGACTTCCACGGTGAAGAAATAACATCGTGTAGTAAAAATCAAACCCGCAAAATTATAATTTGCGTAATTACTGGTGGTAGGAGTCCGCATGGGTAGGTACCACCGCCCCGCCTATTTCCGCCGTGAAGCAGTAATGCGTTTCGGTTCGAAGGGAGGGACAGCCGTTGTAACTATAGTGAGACCTTAGAACTTATATCTCAAGGTGGGTGGCGCATTTACGTTGTAGATGTCTATAGGCTCCAGTAACCAGTTAACACCAGGTAAGCTGTGAGCTCGTCCACCCATTAAAGCAATAAAAAGAAAACACAAAACGAAATTGATCAAAGAGTCTCCGGTCCATTGTTCGGTGGTTGGTAGAGTCCATAGGCAACACAATGTGAATGCAATACAGCTTCGCGGCAGAAACAGGCGTGCGATACCACTCACCCTCCTCTAATAATTATGCAACACGAGTCCGCAAATCGAACCTCACGAAAGTAAAACTTTGTGCGTGCTTCTATCGAGCCACACAATCAACAAACAACGTACCAACCAAACAATAATTCATTATATCACACCTGATTAGTGAGTAAATGTACAATCAACGTGTATTGTAAATCATAATGCAAATATAATATGTTTCAAAACACATGATGTTATTCGTTTCATATATGTATTATTATGGAGCTTTTTGTTTATCTTGTACAAACACTCTTAAAAGAAACTGTATAATGAGTACACAGTAATGTATCGATTTGAATTGAATTTAATTAATAGTTGTATTGATATTGAACAGTGTTTAAGTGATTTGTGATTTCTTTGTTTATTTTCGTAGGCAGTAATCAAGGAGCTCAAACAAGAAGCTGTATTGAACGTCCGACGGAGAATCTGCAAGGTCACCGCTGACATTGAAACGCGAGGACAATTTATGAAGAGGATTTACAATGATTACTTACACGTATAGACGAGCTCACAACCCACCTGGTGTCAAGTCTTTACTGGAGCCTATAGACATTTACAACGTAAATGCCGCTACCTACCTTGAGATATTATTTATTACTGGTGGTAGGACCTCTTGTGAGTCCGCACGGGTAGGTACCACCGCCACGCCTATTTCTGCCGTGAAGCAGTAATGCGTTTCGGTTTGAAGGGTGGGGCAGCCGTTGTGACAATACTGAGACCTTAGAACTATATCTCAAGGTGTGTGGCGCATTTACGTTTTAGATATCTATGGGCTCCAGTAACCACTTAACACCAGGTGGGCTGTGAGCTCGTCCACACATCTAAGCAATAAAAAAAAAAGATTTATTTATTTATTTCATTTACTTCAGATTTTGCATCCATATTACACATTAACATTTCATTTATATTAAAATTAAATAAAAATAATAACTACAATCTCGGACTAAAACAAAAGCAATAATTATAATAATAAAAACAAAAATCAAATAATAATAATCACTACATAATATAAAACAAAGTCGCTTTCTCTGTCCCTATATCTGTCTGTCCCTATGTATGCTTAAATCTTTAAAACTACGCAACGGATTTTGATGCGGTTTTTTTTTAATAGATAGAGTGATTGAAGAGGAAGGTTTATATGTATAATAACATCAATTAAATAGTGGAGAAATCAATAATAAATTACAGTTTCCGAAGCGAAGCGAGGGCGGGTCGCTAGTAATAATAATAAAACAAAAACTCAAAATTAAGATCAAAACTACCTTAAACTAAAGGCTGGTTTGGATCCAGAGTGCTCAACATGCACACGTGTCCAGTGTTGCATTATTGGGCAGTCCAGATCCATCCGTGAGGATCCGTACATATGCACGAAATATTAATTTTTATGAACTACATATTTCCTCAATCCTATCGCTTTCTTAATGATATCTAAAGGCGATACGTTCTCATAGACAACCGATTAAGTTTCTTCCTTAAGTACTTACCAAGAACGAAGAAATATAAACCGTTTATAAGAAAACCTGCTCGTTCGAATTTAGGTGCTTACTCTCCCTTAAACAGAATCCTTTGGGACTACAATAATGTTCACGGTAGCGCGGTCTCTGTCAACTAATTTTAAATAAAATACATGTATTTTTCTAAATGTCTCACAACTTACATGAACACTCTGTCGGGGATCATTTCCCAATTAAATATAAATTAATCTTAAGCAATCAATCAAATGTAATCAAATCTTAGTTATATAATTTTTTTATTTTGTTATTAATGCTCTGTCGATTGCACCTATAATTGAGGTGACATCTGCCATTAACTTTTGTCAATTTGCCGACGTTTTGTATTGATGATCACTTTGTTGGTGCAACTTAATAAATAAATAAATCTCTTCAGAAATTCACAATTCCGATCCGGTGGTAGATTCAGCACTTCTCTTGCTAGAGCTGTTTTTTTTTTTATAGAAGCTAATAGATACTTTTATTAAATTTCGACGCTATTGACTACTTCGAAATTTAATAAGATGCATTAATAAGATAGGTATTTAAATATTTGAATATAATTATTATAATGAGTGGTAAAATAATATATCTTAAGGGGGTTTTGAGTAGAACAGTATATAAATATAATATACAACTTTATATGTAAATGAAAGCATCTAAGATGTCATGTAAATTTGATAAATGGTTAATATGTTTTGTAAAATTGTAAATAGAATATATGTATTAAAAAAAAATTGTATAATAAATGTAAAACACAGTGCATTAAATTATATTTAAGGGTTATTCAATTTTTTGAGGCAGATTCTTTAAGGCTTGGATCCGTTCGCTCGCCAACCAAACCTGCTGACTCTAGAATAGCCCCTCAAAGCTACTGGTAGATGGTCAAAAAGGTGATTCACTTAAATGACGTATATATAATTTTTAATTATTAATATATTCCTTTTAATACAGTATAAACTATTATATGTATGTATGTATGTATATATGATTGTGTATATATGTATGTATATACTTTTTTTGTGTGTGTATGTGTTTGTAAATTAATATAAATTTCATTGCACCTACCACTATTCACTCTGCACTACCTTTGGTTGACTGGTAGAGAATGCCTTAGGCATTAAGTCCGCCAATGTAAATTTTACATGAAGTGTAATAAATAAATAAAAATAAAATAATTTTATACCGCCCACGAATGATTGTTGAATTTCGTTGAAATTCGCTGTTAAAATCCACCCAAATGTTTATGACCCCGATGCATTGTACGCACCCTATGGCGTACGTTACGTCTTAAAAATTCATAAAACAATCATCCTACCGAGACGGAGGCAGCCAAGGAAAAAAATAACATACTTGTAATATAGTTNAAATAAATAAAAATAAAATAATTTTATACCGCCCACGAATGATTGTTGAATTTCGTTGAAATTCGCTGTTAAAATCCACCCAAATGTTTATGACCCCGATGCATTGTACGCACCCTATGGCGTACGTTACGTCTTAAAAATTCATAAAACAATCATCCTACCGAGACGGAGGCAGCCAAGGAAAAAAATAACATACTTGTAATATAGTTTAGATATTTTTTTCGTACCTATTCTCAGGTACGCCCAGACGAGTAGGTGAGCTCACAGGCTCAACCCGAGAGAATTTGCTAACACTAGCCCTGGCAAGAGCAGTGCTTCGCAGAATCTACCACCGAATCGGAATCGCGACCCACTGAGAAGATCCGGCGAGAGACTCAGTGGGCTGTGTCTGTGGGTTAATTTACTCGCCGAGCCTTTCGTCGCAAGCCATGACGGGTTCGACGAGAACGATGATTCGGTCGCGGACTTCAAGAGATCCGATTGACTCTGAAAGCTTACACATGCATTAAGGACCGATGACAGTATATCTTCTTCTATATATGTATATAAAAGAAAGTCGTGTTAGTTACCCTACTTATAACTCAAGAACGGCTGAACTGATTTGGCTGCAAATTGGTGGGGAGGTACCTTATAACCAGGAGAAGGACATAGAATATTTTATCCGTCTTGCATTCGCCATGACCATAAACAAATCACAAGGCCAATCCTTAAAAATTTGTGGTCTGAATCTAGAAAATCTATGTTTTTTCCATGGTCAATTATATGTGGCATGTTCCTGGGTCGGAAGACCATCTGTGTTATTTGTTCTTGCACTTGATAATAAAACGAAAAATGTCGTCTATCACTAAGTACTTTACTAAAGAGTGAAGTGGAACCCATGTAATAAAACACGTGACCAATAAAGAATCATTAAAATACTTGTCTTTTTAATTTACTTTAATTATCCAAATAAAAAATTGATCTTGATAAAATCAAAAGTCTGCTCATTAATTGCTAATCGGTAGGGAAAAAACCGAAGGAAATCGGAATAAAACTGTCTCCCTAAAGAGAACATTCAACCGTTATTAAAAAAAACAGCATTAAGTTAAAAAGGGCACCTGGTCAAACGCATATTCACGCATGCATATCATAAGACACAAGACGTGTGCCCGCCACATGAACGGATGTCTTCGATTACTGTAGATCCGTCGACGATAACAAAACGATAATAAACAAAACAATCTAAACTCGACTACATAAAGCCTAAAATTCTTTGAACAGCCAACGAGCTTTATGGATGCTTAAAATTAAAGGATTTTGCTACTTAAAACGACAGGGGAAGACTTATTTTTGAATACAATTATTAAAATTGATCGTGCACGCGCCGTCATGCTTTTTAAACTCAAGACTCAAGGCAACTCTGTTTAAAGACATTTAAAATATCCTTAATTATTGTATTGCTACCATGGGGCACATTCTTCCACTTCCGTTCTACCTAGTATTATACTTAGTATACTAATATACTACCTAGTATATTCAAAATTTTAAATACGTACTTAACAAATGTTCACGGTTGACTTCCACGGTGAAGGAATAACATCGTGTAATAAAAATCAAACCCGCAAACTTATAATTTACATAATTACTGNATATCCTTAATTATTGTATTGCTACCATGGGGCACATTCTTCCACTTCCGTTCTACCTAGTATTATACTTAGTATACTAATATACTACCTAGTATATTCAAAATTTTAAATACGTACTTAACAAATGTTCACGGTTGACTTCCACGGTGAAGGAATAACATCGTGTAATAAAAATCAAACCCGCAAACTTATAATTTACATAATTACTGATGGTAGGACGTCTTGTGAGCCCGCACGGGTAGGTACCACCACCCTACCTATTTCTGCGGTGAAGCAGTAATGCGTTTCATTTTGAAGGGCGGGGCAGCCGTTGTATTGTTAAAAATGAGAACTTACAACTTATGTGTCAAGGTGGATGGCGGCATTTACGTTGTAAATGTCTATTGACTCCGATAACCATTTAACACCAGGCTGGCCGTGAGCTCGTCCACCCATCTATAAAAATATATATATAAAAAAACTAGTCATGCCTTCCGGTGTGGAAAGGTGTAATAGCGTTAAAACTAATTTTACGTCTCAATCTCTCGTTTTTTTAATTGTCATTAGGTACATTATTATCGACGTTTCCAATACAGTCCATTTATCCGTGACCAGTAACCGAAAAGTGTAAAAGTAGCTTTTTTTTCCTACCTTTGCTGATAGCCTTGAGAGGCTATTTCAGCTTCACCCTAACGTTTGTAGGTGAACTCACGGGGTTCAACCGGAGAGTTGCTAATACTGACCCTAGCAAGAGCAGTGCTTCGCAGAATCTACCACCGGATCGGAAACGCGATCCACTGAGAAGATCCGGCGAGAAACTCAGTGGGCTGTGTCTATGGGTTAATTCGCTCGTCGAGCCCTTCGTCGCAAGCGACGGGTTTCGACGAGGACGGTGACCGGTAGTTTTGATTATGTGAACTTATAATGTTATCGAATTCGCAATTATAAAGGCAATTAAAACAATAATACAATTTACTACTACACAAATACAATCAATCACAATCATATTCAAACTATCTTAACAATGAACGAGATTGTTCTTAAGTTGTGTTATCGGCCGGTTACAACTTAATTGGTCAACGAACAATATCTTGTTTCGGTTGAGTTGCGGTCTGCTAATTGATTCTTAGGTGTTTTCGCTCCTTTGCCCACTGAGTTTCTCGCTGGATCTTCTCAGTGGGTCGCGTTTCCGATCCGGAGGTAGATTCTGCGAAGCACTGCTCTTGCTGGGGTCAGTGTTAGCAACTCTCCGGTTGAGCCCCGCGAGCTCACCTACAAACGTTAGGGCGAAGCTGAAATAGCCTCCCAAGGCTATCAGCATAGGTAGGAAAAAAAAATCTCTCCTTGTGAGATCATTCAAGATGTGGGCCAATGCCAATGCTTCGTTCGAAAATTAACAATAAAAAATGAATACAGTAATAACTTTCGGGGCTTTCTTACTGGTGGTAGGACCACTTGTGAGCCCGCGCGGATAGGTACCACCGCCCCGCCTATTTCTGCCGTGAAGCAGTAATGCGTTTCGGTTTGAAGGGTGGGGCCGCCGTTGTAACTATACTGAGACTTTAGAACTTGTATCTCAAGGTGGGTGGCACGTCTACGTTGTAGATGTCTATGGGCTCCAGTAACCACTTAACACCAGGTGGGCTGTGATCTCGTCCACCGATCTAATCAATAAAAAAAAAACATACGGATCGTGAATATGCCGCGAATATAGAAACTTTGAATATGGATATGAATTGAATATGGCGCGTTTCCAAAGGATATTCGGTTGGATGCCTGCAAGTCGAAATCCATTTTGTCAATGTGTATGTACCGATGTACCAATTAGATCTGCGAATAAAGAAAATATGTTTAGCCGCGAACATAGGAATTGGGTCGCATTTGTTTTAATTCGCGAATAGTGAAAACGCGAACGAATGAAACGCGATTAAAGAACTTTTACAGTACACAAAAGTGTATCCTTAATGAATACATAACGTGTTTTTTTATTTCTTATGTGGGTGCAAGAGCTCAACCTACCTTGAGATATGAATTCTAAGATCTCAATTTTAACAGCACAACGGAATAATGCATAACGTGTTTGGCTTTATTATTGTGGAAGTTAGACTAAACGGAGCCCACTGAGTTTGATTGGTTGAGTTGATTTTCAATATCTAAAAATGTCACCGGCCATTAAACATTTATTATACGCCATGTTTTTATATAATACATATAGCAAATACATATTTGCTTAGAGTAATGTATATCTACTTAACACAGGCCTTGTCGTTACTGGCAGATCTTAATCTTTAGGCCACAACAACTTTCTGGTTCAACTATGAGATATTTTTTGTCGCGTACCGTCATATACGGTAGGCAGCGGCTTGGCTTTGTCCTTGGCATTGGTGAAGTCCATGGGCGACGGTAACCACTCACCATCAGGTGGGCCGTATGCTTGTCTGCCTACAAGGGCAATAAAAAAAAAGCTCTAAAAGCTCTAAATGCTTTTTCTGGGCGCTGTATATTATGCTGCTTCAAAATAAGTGTAAATCGTACCAGAGCTGTACGCAGTGGTTTGGTAGACACACCCTGGCGTTGGTGATATCCAGGAGTATTTCTGCCACAGGTAAGTTCCGTTTGAAAAAGCTTGACAACGGTTAAACACAAAAATTTGAGACTTCGAACTTATGCTGCTAGTTTTTTTTTTGGAATGAAAGGATAACTGTTGGCTGGGTTTTCAAGGTTCGCCAGGATAAATGATCGTCCACGTGTTCACCCAGGAGGGGTGGGATTTGCTGACAGCCGTCCAAGCTACTCCGAAGAAGACTAAAAAGCTCAAAAAGCTCCCTACGCGAATGTATCTACTGCCGTATCATAATCGCGGCCCACTGAGATCCGGCGAGAAGCTCAAAGTGTGGCTATACTTATTATGTCCAAGTTGATATGTAGTGGCATTGTCATTTTAGTGTCTATGGTAAATAATTGATGTCAGATGTTCAGATCGTCGACTGTTGAGCCGTAGATTAAAAAAAAACGCGTACTAAAAACGCACGCATTATACTGACGATTCAAGTTTCTTTACAAATTACTTTTTACGAAGTATTAAGTTTTTTATTGAAAACCCAGAACTGCGACAGGTTGTGAATGACTTGTGAATTGAAAAATAAAAAAAAAAAACAAAAAAAACAATTACACGTTTTTTGCTTCCAACGGTTTTATAAGTTAAAAAAACTTAAGCGCTGCGTGAACTGTAAGACTGAACAAATAAAGACTAATGTTGATTAACATTTGTTATTTTTGAATCGTTACAGATTAGTTCCAGAATCGCCTTCGAAACAACAGGTTGATGATCGATTTATGACGTTGATGAGCTTCAATCGATTCTCATAATGATTCGGCTGTCAACGATTGTTCGTCATATTGGATGTATTCATTAAATAGAATGAAAGTTATTGTTAAGTGAATAAAAAATTTGCTTTCTCAACGATTGACAACTAATTTTATTTATTAACTAGCGACCCGCCTTCTTTTCGCTTCGGAAACATTAAATTTTATTATTGATAGTCGAGTCCCGCGATATTACCCGCGGTACGACAGTAACTGCGGGTGAAGCCGCGGGGCGAAGCTAGTCTAAAAAAGTCTAAGTTACTCCTTATATCATCAGCTACCTATCAGTGAAAGTTCCGTCAAAATCGGTCCAGCCAATCCAGAGATTAGCCGGAACAAACAGACAGACAAAAATTGTAAAAAAATGTTATTTTGGTGTATGTACCGTATATGTATTCATATGCATGTAGTAAAAAGAGGCTATTTCGATATTACAAACAGACACTCCAATTTTATTCATATGTATAGATGAAATAAAAATAAGAATTAAAGTCGTTAAAACCTCGATTTCTTCGAACGTGAAAATAGTCAGCTTTTTTGCAGGTACATAAGGTATCAAGCTGTATAAAATATGACAAAATCGTTGAAGGAGGCTTTTTTGTTTTTTATTGTCTTTGCAGGTAGACGAACGAGCAAACGGTCTACATGATGTTTAATTGGTTACCCGCGCACACGGATGTCAGCAGCAGCTATGTCAGGGCATAACCAAGTCGCTGCCTACTACAGAGCAGTCTCCGCAAGCCTCGTTTGAAGAAGGACATGTCTCTGATGAACTCTGCTCCGGTGGCTGGAGGTGTGATGATAAAAAGTAGATAAAGGGATCATTTTTCACAATTCCCTAGATCACTCTGGCTTGTCGGTTTCTTCCAAAAAGTCAATTGAACTCTCAGTAAATTCAGACCATTTTATTTTATTGAGAGCGTATTTCATTTCATCTCATCCAATACTTAAAGTATTGTTCCAGCATTTCGGTAACGATTTCAACCTTTGCTACATAAGATTAGACCACATGGCTATTTTCCCTTTACATGTCCAATGGACTATTTAAACAACATCAAAAGAAACGGAAGAAGTTTTAATTATTTATTTATTTTCCTACCTAAGCCTTGCTAGTCTTAGGGACTATTCACGCTACGCTGAGACGAGTAGGTGAGCTCACGGGTTCAACCTGAGCGAGCACTATCCCTAGCAAGAGCAGTGCTTCGCTAAATCTACCACCTGATCGAAATCGCGATTACAGAAAAATCGAGAAACTTATGGCGGCAGCCATCATAGAACACAAGATATTTGACAGATTCCTGAATTTCACTAACGACATTTTCAAGATCAGATTATGTATTGTATAGTAGCTGACCCGGCAAACTTCGTAGTGCCTCAATCGATAAATAAAAGACCTAAACTTTTATATAAAATCAACTTAAAACAAACAGAAGAAATCCGTCCGACCGACACATCAAAGAAAAAACAAAATTGTTATTTTTATATTTATATAAATATTTAATTCCGATCATTTTCATATTTATCTACCTTTTAAACCTTCTCTGGACTTCCGCAAATGATTCAAGACCAAAATTAACCAAATTGGTCCAGCCGTTCTCGAGTTTTAGTGAGACTAACGAACAGCAATTCATTTTTATATATAAAAATAGATTATATTTACCCCCCTGTGATTTAAAAATTAAAGAGCGGACGGTAAGCGTGGTATGGACATATGATGCGTACTGAGGAGATGGATGTGACCAGGAGATATATGGAAATGGTAGTGCAAGGTAGAGGGGAAGAGGTCGATCGAAGAAGACATGGATGGAGTGTGTGAATGACGATATGAGAGAGAAAGGAGTGAGTGTTGAGATAACGGCTGATACTGAACCGATTTGAAAAATTCTTTCACTGCTTGGAAGTTACACTATTCCCGAGTGACATAGGCTATAATCTTTATTGAAAAAATTATGGATCCTTACCAATACCTCCAATAATGTAACCCAAGGTGTAAAAAATTACCTAAAATATTCTTTACATCGCGTGCCCTGCGAAAACTATTGATGATAGAATAAAATAATGTACTACGACTTTGTAGAACACATTATTATTTACAAAAAGTATCCCGACAGTATATGTCTAGCTATTGTAGTTATGCCGCAATAAGTGTTCTATTATTTAAAAACAATAAAACAACGTCAAATATCGTTGAAATTTTTGTTAAAGACCCGAGCGGAGCCGGAGAGAGCTGCTAGTATTGTATATACGCGTACAAGTTCCGAACTAAAACATACGGACCGTCGGTCTACCGAGCATTCGCACTCGCTCGATGGAAGATTTACCCTATGTCGTTACCCTCCCAAAGCCATTGCCTCCCAAGCTTTTGAAGAAGAAGAAACTAAATCTGCAAAATCTCTGTCTCTACAGTATGTGACAGAGTGAAAGCGGTTGCCTGGAAGAGAAATCGAAGTCGTCGTAGCCCAGGGGATAAGACGTCCTGTGCGTTCGTATCGAGCGATGCAACGGTGTTCGAATCCCGCAAATGTTCACGATTAACTTCCACGGTGAAGGAATAACATCGTGTACTAAAAATCAAACCCGAAAAATTATAATTTGCGTAATTACTGGTGGTGGTAATTACTGAGTGTGCACGGGTACCACGACCCCGCCTATTTCTGCCGTGAAGCAGTAATGCGTTTCGGTTTGAAGGGCGGGGCAGCCGTTGTACTGTTACAAGTGAGACCTTAGAACTCATTTCTCAAGGTAGGTGGCGGCATTTACGTTGTATATGTCTATGAGCTCCGGTAACCACTCAACACCAGGTGGGCCGCGAGCTCGTCCACCCATCTAAGCAAAAAAAAACACTTTTATTTTAATGTAAAATGAAGTAATTAATGCCTTCTGTAAAAGTCGAGAGAGTATTTCTTTTGAGGGTATTGCTCTATTAATTCGAAAGGAGTCGGTAGAATGTTTTTGATAATGTTGGTCAGAAATCCTCAATAAATCTTTTCCTAATAACCTAAAACCAGGATCACATAATAGTAAAATTTTATGATATAAAAATAAGAATCAACTTAGTTGGTCCAGATGTGACTCAAATTTAAAAGTCTTTATATATAAAAATGAATTGCTAGTCTCGCTAAAACTCGAGAACGGCTGGACCGATTTGGCTAATTTTGGTCTTGAATTATTCGTGGAAGTCCAGGGAAGGTTTAAAAGGTGAGAAAATATAAAAAAGCTCGGAATTATATAAAAACAAACAATTTTGTTTTTCCTTTGATGTTATGAATTTCTTTTGTTTGGTTCTTAGTTTATTTTATACAAAAGTTTAGGTCTTTTATTTATCGATTGAGGCACTACGGAGTCTGCCGGGTCAACTAGTAAATTCATAAAAATCATTAGGTTCGAATTGATTCTCAGCAGCTTTTAATAGATTTAGTACTCATTGAAGATATTCGTTCAATAGGGTTTAGACCTTATAAAGTTTACTGTTTAATTGTAGTATAATATAATATGTACGTACATAATATTTCTATGTGCTTTTTTTAAGTGCTTATACATATTTTATGTTCGTGATCAAAGCGTTTGCATACGGTTTAGCCGATTGACTTGAAACTTAAATATAATTAAAAAAATATTTACTTATTGTTTTAATTTTTCTTGATCGAAAGACATGTTGGCCAATAGACTATCTGATTTAAAAAAAATATGATGATAAATATATATATAATGAAGGTGATTCTTTAAATACTAAAAGATTTGATTTAATAATTATGTTGGTTTTCAAATGACTTCATCATTGGCTTAATCCAAACAGATACATACCTTGGCTTATTTATGTATTATCAACTTTGTGTACAGCTCAACTGTCAGTTTTTTTAAGAGGTTATTAATAGCTTCAAAACACAATATAATTCTATAAAGCCGTGAAGCAGTAATGCGTTTCGGTTTGAGGGATGGGGCAGCCGTTGTACTGTAAAACCTTAGACGTCAGAACTCATGTCTTAAGATGGGTGGCGGCACGTTATTGATGCCTATGGGCTCTGATTACCACTTAACGCCAGATGAGCCGTGAACTCTTCCACCTATCTAACGATAAATATGGTACCATACCATAAATATAAATACATGGTATCAGTAGTTATATATATTTTATGAACAGATATGAGTAGAAGGGTTATTTTGATAATATCCTGAAAAGCACCCCACGTTTTTTTTTACAATAAAATCATTTTTTCTTACGCTATTTTTAATTCTAATTTATTAAAATTTATTTTGTATTTTTTAGTTGGACTTTCTATAAAAGAGTATTTTGTTAGTTTTTTTAAACTATTATTTATTTTTATTTTTTAGTTGAATTTCTATTTTTTCAAAATTTTTTTGATGTGAAACTTCCTTATCTACGTAGGGAGGAAAAAACATGTGTAACGTTTTTCGGTTACGCGCCATCTTAATTTATTCCGTTACGCGCCATGTTTATTTTATTTCTATTTAGTTTGTTATCAACAGATGTCGCTGCACGTAAATTCAACAATTCCTGAATCGCGGTGACGAGATGTTACACAGTTGATAGACTTTCTCGTATTTCTCTTGCTCTATCATACTTAAATTACTTAACTGGCCTAGGTATACCGTGATCATGCAGGCTGTCCCCCAGGGTGAGGCTGCTCCATTGCACTACGAAGTGGCTGACCCTTGCGATTATTTTTATATTTTATGTTATAAGTTTTACTTCACCCTTGTGTGACACATATATTTTTTTATTAGTGAATTGTCATCGGTCCTCAATAAGTATACCAAGTTTCGAGTTAATCCGAAGTTTTGAAGGGAGTCAAAATCATGTTCAAAGATTCCAATACATACTTACTAACATACATACGTCTGAAGCTAATAAAAGCGTATTAAAAATCAGTATACACTGAGCCATCGGCCGCATCTACCGCCTTAAATTCCAGAATCAAGGGTAATCGCCTATGAAGGAGTAATAAAGTTAATCTCATTACGAAGTCCTCAACAGAGAGAAACAATGTAAGCATGCTGATGCACACCAACATTTAATAGTCCCCAATAATAGCGATCTGCTCCGTCAATTCAACAATAATATAATTCCTGTTTGCAACG